TACACATTCCTCATTCTGGGTTGGTCAAAACACAAAGAAAAAACAGGTGTCTTTTAAACCTCGATAAGTGGAACATCGATAAATGTTATTTAAAATTGTCTTTGACAGATCTAACGAAGGAACCTTCCCAAGTGTATCAGTGCTTTTTTTGCTGAAAATATGCATGGCTATAGACAAACGATGGTGCTGATTGCGAATATCATCGTCATTTTTGCCCAAACGGCTTCAGGAGTTTGGTTTTCTAGGGGAACATGTTTTTTTAATCAGGTCTGATCTATTCAGTTTGTAGAACACATCGAGTTACGTATGTGAAAAAATAATTTTTCAATTATCCAAATGCTAGAAGAAAATTTTACCAGGTAACAATGAAGCAAGAAAATGATTTCCACATTTGAACAAGTAAAATGAAATAGTTTCACAAAATAACAATAGAGAAGAGATGAGAGAGAATTTAATTTTGTACTTAGTACATACATGTAGAACATATAAAAATAAAAAATATAATAATGGACTAACACATAAAGAGAGAGTAATAAAATAGATTACTATGTTGCTATGTTGAAAAGTATTATCCACCTGGATCTGGGATGAGATTTTTTGAAAATGAGACCACCAAACAATGTTGGGTCTTCTTTTCAGACAGAAGATAGAATTTCTAAAGTGCTACAATCAGATTTAGTTTATGGAGTCAATTGTAATGACTGTGATGATAATTATGTCGGTAAAACAATTAGGCAATCTTGCCTGATTTGTCTAAGATCACTTCTTAGTGTGTAGTTCACACACCTACGCCGTAAGTTCTAGATGGTCTCTGGGAATCGACTTGACGTTCACTTTATGTGTGTCATTTACGCACTTTATTTTTTACAGTGATTAACAATAAATTTTAAAAAGTTGATAAGTCGTTCAAAATATGTTCAGTGATTGAAAAATTGTTTTTTTTTCACATACATAACTCGATGTGTTCTACAAACTGAATGGGTTGCAACCTGTTTTAAAAAGAAAAAACTTTTTCGCTAGTAAACCGAATCTCTGAAGGCGTTCGGGCAGAAACGACTATAATTGTTTATGTCACGCAATCTAAAAAGGACTGAGGTGCAGCAACGTCATTGAAACTACTGCATTGTTAGATAAGAGAATCATTTTCTGAAAAGAAAATGTATTTCTCATCATACTTTTTTCGTTCTATTTCTTTTTCTTTTTTTCGTTTTGTTTTCTTAGACGATTAGGAATAACGCAGAAATATCTTTACCACTATAGAAAGAAGAACACTCGCTATAGACATTTGCTAACATTTGCCAAGAAGTGAAAAGATAGGGATATTTCTTATTTGATACAACACTATTATTTTTGAATGATAAAGTTTATGTATGTGAATACATAAAAGTGTTGAATCGTACATTTAGCCTAACTATACAACAGGTAAGGTGCTAATAATGCAAACCCAGAGCAAAATTTTTTTCTGGTTTGTTCTACATGATTGTATAGAGCGCGTCAAGCTGATTAAGAAAATGTGTGTTTCGACTTTTCAAAACTGATTTTTAACGTCGAAATATCGAGAAAACTCAACAAAAACACTGTTCAAAGCAGCTGGAGTATCCGACTTGTTTGCTAATTCAACATGCTCAAACCAGTTTTTTCTAACTGGCTTTTTCTAAACTGAATTAAAAATGGTATTTAATCAGTTCGAAGTTATAACTTCGAATTGATTAAATACCATTTTTTAATTCAGTTTTCGACGGGGAATTAGAAAAAACTAGTTTGAGCATGTCGAATTAGCAAACAAGTCGGATACTCCAGCTGTTTTGAACAGTGTTTTTGTTGAGTTTCCTCGATTTTTCTACGTTAAAAATCAGTTTTGAAAAGTCGAAACACACATTTTCTTAATCAGCTTGACGCGCTCTATACAATCATGTAGAACAAACTAGAAAAAAATTTTGCTCCAGGTTTGCATTATTGCCCCTTATGCATCCATTAATAATCGATGTCAGGACATTCAGGAAAATTGTTTTGAGTCGATTATGAAATATCTCTGAGAGCTGCCGAATGTCTCATTTTGTAGAGAAATGTTTCTTCTACAAAAGCGAAGTGTTAGAAAAGTTTTAATGTCATGTGTAACAAAAATATACGCATCTGGATTGTGGATGATCCTCTTTTTCCTCTTTTTTTCAGAATCCATCCTCTTTGTCCTCTTTTCCCGTCATTTTTCCTCTTTTTCGATGATTTTGTTACAACAATGCGTGAGTTTTAAGCAATTTCAGATTCGAATGTGGTTTTCGATATATTCTTTATATCTATGCCGGTCATAAAACGAAATTTAGTTGGGAAAAATGGTTGGAAAAAATCCTCTTTTTTCTTCTTGTTTTTCAACACTAATCATCGGAAAATTTTTTAGAAAATCCTCTTTGTTTCTCTTTTTCTCAAAATGACCGCCCGCAAGCCAGATATGATATCGTGAATAAACTAGGTGAATATCTCAGCAGTACCGTGTCTTATCACATCCGAATATACTACCACGCATAGAGACCTGCAACACACTTTTAGATCGGAAAAGCCCCCGTTTTTCTCTTTTTTCGACACTAATCCTCTGAATCAGTGTTTATTCCATTAGAGAAAAGGTGCAAATAAAATTGCTGTGTACTCCTTTCAAGTAGGCTTTATTGACAAATTCATATCGCACATCTGATAAATCCTGAGACCCGCACGGCAAAAAGAGTGATGATTTTGGGGACGGCTCGAATCTCAAAATAATTCTATTTGCTTAAGACCACCCCCTCCTCTCCAAAAAGTCGATTTTCGTCAACAAAATGATTTTTAAGATAGGTATACGGACATATCGCCTAAGATGTCTACTTCAGCAGAAAATATACAATCAAGTGAAAGAAATTAGACTCAACCTTAAAAAGAAATATTGACAGCTATTTGAAGTTCCTCTACTATTGCTGTATGTAGTTTAAAGAATATGCGTGGTTACAAAATACAAATCGTTTGCACACACACATAATGGCACGAATATAAAATATAGATATGCTAAAGCTCGAAATGGATAATGACAAGTCTAGTTCTCTATCTCTATGCTTAATCAAACTATGTAGTTCATCTTACAGAAATTTTGTCCAGCCAAAGACCGTGGAAGACTATACATCATAAAAGATCCCATAAGTTCGCATTATCGAAACTCATTGTATTACTGATGGCGAGCAGGTCTCCACGTTCGGATTTTAAAACTGTCTTTCTTTCTGAAAAAAACATCTTTTCACGGAGATTGCACGAACAATAGTTTTTGAACTCTTGGGCTCGGCTGTAACTTTCGTAATATTGTAAATACATTCAACTAAATTAGACATCAAACATAACACCTTTATTTTCTATCCTTTTGATCTGATTTTCTTCCATTCAGTATAAAAAGGATAGGAATGAGTCAACTCATTTGACATACAGATATTTCAGCAACCATAATGTTTCATACGCTTTCTGTCAGAATTCTGTACTCTGTTTTGATAAAATTGGCATTAGAAATTGGGCATATGTACAGCTCTTTTGGGCTTGTTAAAGTTCGACATAGTGTTCTTTGGTATGGGGTACGTATGTTCATGTTTTTGGCATCTATTGTTTAGTTTCTTGTATAGATTAATTTCCTTTCGTTGTTTCTTCAGTAACTTAACCTCATTTCATTAAAAGAAAAGACAATATTATTTCATCCAAACGATATAGAATTGCTATACTTGACCGAAACGGAAGTCTGGTTCCCTCTAAAAGAGTCATAATCAATCAGTCGCGTACTCATAGCTGGTGTTTGGTTTCGGATGCAATGTGTAGTTTTCAAGAAAGAAGCTTTTACGCTAAAGTTAGCTATTTTTCCCGTTCTACTTCTCTGTCTCTCTGTCACTACAGAATTAGGCGATCGCGCAGCGTTGAACCAAATACGAAAAAATTTAGTTGCTTGATGCAGAATTTCTCAAGGAATTCGACATCGTACTAGTGACTAAATTTTAGCTATTTTAGCTATTTTAGTTTTCAGAGCTATTTTCTTCAAACATTGACATATAAAAAAACAATTTAATGACTATGAAAGAAAACAAAAGTGAAAACATTAGAAAGAATTACTATAATAGTATATAAATACGTTGAATATTGTGGTTCAGAAAATAAAATTTATTTGTTGTGGACTCTTCTGAAGCAATAATGTCTTTTATACTCCAATTAAAAAATAATGTATTTAGAGCTGTAACACCTTCTGGTTTTAACACTTATTCAACCAGTCTTAGCCAAGCACGTTTTTGTAAAAGTTGGATGTTAAAATTCCTTTTATTTGTTGATATAAAAAAGTCTTTTGTAGTAACATTGTTACCTTGTTCTTCATTACCTTGCGAACTGTACAAATCAAGATTATCTTACTCTTGATTGGTATTCAATGCGTGGTTACCCAAAGCGTGAATGTATATAGTAACGGAGTCACTTCCAAATAAATTTTTATATCTTTCACATCAGTGGACGGATTGCTTTTTAACATGTTTGTATATATCACCAACACTGTACAGAATATGTAGTACATATTCATAAGATCAAAAAAAATCGTCACACAATTTCGAATGAAAAATGCTTGATGATTAGAAATAAACAACATGAACGAGAGCATAGAACAAAACCGAAATTATTAAGTTAATACAATTCATAAATATATTATCAAATGTCAACGATATTCATTTGGAATCACTTAGACACCGAGTTGAGCATCAGAATAAAGGGGAACAACACAAAACACATTATTTGTCGTGCAATGTCACTGAGAAAATTATAGGCACGTGAGTATATTCTTTTATTCTGGTCTTTCTAATATTACTATGTGAAAACAAAAATTTAATACAACTATCTTTTGTCACACAAAAACCACCAAATAGTCACTTCAGACGTTATATTTTACTAATGTGTTCATATTTTCATTCCACGAATGCTCTTACTAAGGACGTCTTTGTTTTTCAAAATCATAGATTATAATCATGAAAATTATTGCACGGTAAATTTGTATTCATTCTAATTTTCGTGATTAATGCTCGTATTGTTTACGAAGTTAATGATTTAGTGGAAAGGTCTGTGAACTTTTTCCCTTCGTATTTCTTAATAAATATATATGCAACTAAACTACTTAACTAAACGTTTCGATAACATATATTTATTAATAAATACGAAAGGAAAAAAGTTCAAAGACCTCCAACTAAATTGTAATTTTCAATTCTGCGTTTAGTGCTTTTTCTTATGTGAAATCTCATATAAGAAAAGTTAATAAATTCTAAAGATCTGTTAAACTGGAAGCGTAATACAAAAGTGAAAAGTCCATCGAAGACGGTTAAAAGAAAATATCCTTGGAAAGGGGGACGTCCTGGGGGACAGATTTTCGCGGGGCACAAATCTTTAAATGTGGGATTGTCCCCCTTATGGGGGGACATCTGGCAACCCTGTCGATCACCATAGATGTTATCAATATAGTAATCTCTGCTGTTTTTTAACAAATCGTTCCGATAGTTACGCAATGTTCACTCCGCTGTTGCAGTTTCTTGACACTGGCGTTGATCAACGTTATTTTCTCGGTTGTTGCTGCGCTCTGAAGGTAATTTTTCTACGTGCAGATCTATTTCGTCAGCGTAAAATCAGTTTACACACAGTATTTATTTGTAGCAGTCCGTAAAAATTACTAACTCGAATATTTTGGTTATCCAAAATACTTCGAACCATAACGAAATATCACGAATACTGGAATCCCTGAGACAAAAATTGATGCTTTGTTTTTTCACGTCTAGTATTTCGACGTCGAAAAAAGAAATATTTTCATCGATTCTAAGCATTTTGACAGAACCGCAAAGTGTTATCATTACACAATGCACGATATCTGTTATTTACTTTACCAAAGAAAAATATGAAATGAAACCGTTGTATTTGAGCATAAAAATCGACACAAGCAAAGAAGTATCATACAAAAGTCGAGCTGTCCAGTGCTGGTTTATCGTAAGAAATCCTATTTAGTTGCGCATTTTGTTATTATTTATTTTCAAAACCTGCTAAATGACATCCAATGGAAATTCTCATCCAGCCTTAACTGACTGTATGTATTTTATAAAAGGTTATTGCAAAAAAGGTGATAGATGCCGCTTCAGACACTGTCAAGCGGCCGCCCAAACAACAAACAGTTGCCATAAATGGCCTAATTCATGCAAAAATGTTCAATGTAGGTACCGTCATCCGGAGGTCGCAAAACTTCCGCCATTACCAAAGCAAAACAGTCCTACATTGCCACGGTCAGCAGGGCGATCACAAAAAGGACTAATCAGTCTTTATTGGGATTTAGAAAACTGCGCGATACCTCGTCAACAGTTACCGTTCGATATCGTGCAACGCATTCGAAGCCGCTTCGTTACACCTGATTTGCGAGAAGTGGGTTTTAATTGTTATTGCGATGCAAAATCTATATCAAACGAAAATCGAATTAGCTTATCTCATGCAAATGTCAATATTGTTGATGTTCCAGATAGAAAACCTGGCGGAGTTGACCGAAAAATATTACTGGATTTAGATAGATTCGAACGCACTCATAACCCTCCGGCAACTGTCATATTAATATCTGGTGATATTGATTTTGTTATAGAACAATCTAGTGTTACACATGTAAATAAATAGTTTTAGACCAGTCAGAAGGTGGAAGGAAGCGTTTACAATAGCGACACGTTCGCTAATTTCGGCCCAACGATGTTCACGTAATTAATAGACAAATGAGGGTAAACTCAGTGATTTGCGACATCAAGCTGGATTTCATGTTATCGTTTTACATAACCTACCTGCTAAAGCTGAATTAAAACGAACGGTTAATGAACATTATGAGTGGACACAATTTACACACCCACAATTTGATCAATCAATTTCAAATGTCAATATGATAAACCAACGACACCCGCTCTATAATTCCTACCCAAGTTTTTCCCAACCGCAAAATAACTACTACCCCATCTACCCTTTTCAGACTGAAAGCATGGCAACTCTAATACACGAGCCAAAACCGCCACCTTACAGCTACAGTCCGAGCTATCCATTTTCAAATGGCATTATGGCAGATATGACACAACAGACCAACGAGTCAAACAATTCATATCCAAGTGAAAAGCCGACAAATGTGATACAACAAATAAGCGAACAAAATCAGTATGGTGATGGTCGTTACTCGAACCGTCGTGCTCCTCGCCCAAAACAACCGAAAAGTCTATTGGAGTGTCCCCACTGTTCACGTGAGTTAAATTCGATCGAAGCATTAAAACAACATCAACTAGCGAAAGGACATTTGTTTGATTGTCTAGAATGTTCTGCTTCTTTTCATACCGCAGACGGATTATTACAGCATCAGGAAGCTAAAAACCATGATGAAAGCCATTATACATGTGCATTTTGTAATGCGGTATTTAATAGTCCACATGCATTACAACAACATCACAGTGCAAAACATCACACTAATATACCGGACGAAGAAGAAGAAGATGATACTACACGTGCTATTCTAGGTGGTGTGCGACTAATTGCTAGTCTGTACAAAGCTTTAACGAAAAAATAAGGCAGAACGGTCAAGGTGTAATATATTTCATCTCTTTATTGTTGTTGTGTTGATTTATTTTTCCATCAATTAACAAAATGAAAAGTACTGAGCCTAAAACTGACACTTTTGAAACATTTGTTTACTTTTTTTCCTATTCATATAGTAACAATGGGCAATTTTGACTAGGCACGTGGACATGTGCCATAAAAGTAGTGCGAAAACCTCTAAACACTATTTTTATAGGTTTTCGTATGCGCTCTTTCCAATGGTGGGATTTACAATGTTCAAAAACACTTTTAGTCTGGTTTTCCAGAGACCGGGTCTCTGAAAAACCCTAATAATAATATCTTTGAACTTGTAAACGACACCATTGGAAAGAGCGCATACGAAAACCTATAAAAATAGTGTTTAGAGGTTTTCGCATTACTTTTATGGCACATGTCCACGTGTCTAGTCAAAATTGCCCACTGTGGGACGGAAGAAAACTCCTTCTGAGACAATGTTAATTTTCCTAAAAAAAAGACACTACCTAAAAATCAATAGATTATATACCATTCTATGCATTTCTTGACGCTGATTCCGAATATGTTATTATTTTTCACAAAAACTGCTTTGGAACCAGAGAAAATACTGAAAAACCTGCACAAAACCAGGTTTTTTGGAAAACCTAGAAGTCCGGCTAGGTGTATTTGCGCTATTTTGCGCTCACTGTGTGGGTGCACTGGATGGAGGAGAACATTGCCTGAAAGTTTCGTTTCATTTGGAGTTGGGGAAATTTGGGGAAACTCATTCTACTGCGGTACGTTCTTCGGAAGACACTTAACAAATAAAGAAAATCATTTTTCTCGGTTCAAGCGAGTCCTTTAAACAAAATCTTTTTACAAGTAGATAGATTGAAAGGCCTACGTTCAAACAATGTATGATTTTCCTATACATCATATTCTGCTCTGTAGAAAGAAATTTTTTTCACTTCCACCCTGTGATTTTAGACAAAAATTTGTTTAGCGATTTTCTCATTGAAAATGACAGTTAGAAAAAAACTTCCAATGGCGAAAAGATAGAGAATTTGCTGAAGTAAGGTGCGGGTAGTTCAAACTTCAAGCAGATTTTAGATTTTTTTGAAACACACACCGTTCGATAGAGCTTGAATAGCTCTACAAGGGTATCGCCTTTAAAAGTTTTTTCGAGCTTTCCTTCCAGGAGAAAACCTTGAAATACTAGTTTGTTATTCGACAATGGAAAAAAGACGCATTTTTCAGAAAACTTCGGTTCTTCGTTTTCCGTTGCACT